TATGTTTGAATCACCTTGACGAGATTCCCAATGTCTCCAAGAGCTTTTCGATTTTGTCTTCCATGTCCGTTCGGTATCGTTTCTCCTGAAATTTGTTTTCCCATAAAACCAATCAATTAGCACAAAGGCGATTGATTTGTAATCTAACAGATCGAACCATGAGAATCCAGTTGCAAGAAATTAAAAGGTATAACTGATCAATCGATCAAGATCCAGAACAAGAACCTGTGATTCCTTCAAGAAGAGGACGATTGGAGATTATTCGTGACGCCATTTGTTCGTTTTCAGTGATCGGAAGTAACGCTCCTCCGATACTCGTTAACAGAGAGGAAAAGAAATCACGGAGACGATTACTTCCCGTCCCCGCTTCATCCCTATCAGACGCCACTCTCTCTGATCAGAAATCTTCAAGATTCAATTATTTCTTTGCCTCTCTCTCAAAAATTGCTTATGTTATGGTGTCGAGAGATTTCTTCCATGGTGAAGAGTTTTAAAAAGAGCGTTTTAGCTCTCTCCAACGGTCATTTCTTTTTTTTTTTGTTTTCTGTGGATCTAATCTTCTCCGTAGAGTAGATTTAACTTTACTTGGGATCCAACGGTTTAGAATTAGTCCTCGTCACATAATCAAATGTTGCTTTTTACTTACCGTTAGAGACAAAGAGGTGTGGAGCGGACGTTTATAAGAAAGAATAAACACTTTTCTTCGCTCCGATTGGTAACATGCCTAGTTGCAAACTTATCATTCACCCAATGTTCATTATAAGGTTTGATTGGTAATATATTTGTAATTGCGTAAGAGCGAAAAATGTTATTTTTCTACAAAATGAGATAAACTGAAGAACGAAAATAGCAAAATAATGTTATTTGTGTGATTAGATAAATTTATGTAACGTAGGATATAGAACAAACTATCAAAATATATACATACATTTATTAGATTTTTAAAACTGCTATAATTAATAAGAAAATTATATTTTTAAAATAATTCTCAGCTTATCTTAAATATTAATAAAATATTAATATTGGGGATAAAATATTTTTTTTTTAAGTTAGACGAATCACCCGTAGCCACGTGGCATGGTGAGGTTACTAACATTTTAGATGAAACTTATCGCTCAATGATGATCCCAAAACAAGCTTTGGGCCTTATCATACAATGGTCCGGGCCCACAGGAGAAGAAACCCGGGCCCAACGACTTCTGGTAGTAGATTTCGCTACTTGGAGGAAAAGGATCCAGAGTCAAGTAAGTAAACGGCCCATAAACATGATACTCCTA